GACCTGAAGACCAAGGTCCGTCGCTCGCAATCAAGGGACGAGAACTGCTCTTTGTAAGAAAACAGATTTAATATTGTAGGTGGGTTTCCACATTCTGCACATCTTCAAACCGTGATGAAAAGGCAAGCCAGCCCTTCCAGAGTCCATACAAAATAGAACAACCCTTAAAATAATTCTGAGAAGAGCACGAACTTGTCTTACGTGACAGCTGCATCCGTTTTCAAGTCCCCGAAAGAAACGTAGCTTAACACACAAGCGGGAGCAAACGCACATCTTAACGTTTGAGATATGCGCGCCGCACACAGTTAAATACACAGAGAAGCGTTCCAACCCACTAGCCTACTTTGTTACCTCTGAGAACAAAAAAACCCCTCCATTTGTTCTTCTCAGCAAAGACGGGTGACGTCGTTCGCAATCCCTTTGTTCTGGCTGTTAATAAGCAGTTTGTTTTTGCACATGAAATCCACATGAACCTAGAATGTTCCGCCTTAGCTAGAAATCCCCCGTTTGAACCCCGTGGTCCTGACTCTGAAGGAATTCAGGATGTCTCCAAAAGGTCAAGGAGCGCTCCCACTGCTCCGAAATATCCCTGTTTTAAAATGAAAACAACAACAACAACAAAAAGCAAATGATTAAATGCATCATTTGAACAAAATTGCTACATTTCATGCTATCTTTTCCCAACAAAAGTCACCCTTGGAGCGGGGAAATGGACGGCATTAAAAATTTAATAAATAATAAACAACAATAATAGTAATAACAACTCTTCTCCCGTCTTTATCGCTCTTCTGAGAACCCTCACTAAATTGCAAAACTTTCAGGAGACAGTTAAAGGATATAAATCCATCTATCTATCTATCATCTATCCATCCATCCATCCATCCATCCATCATCTATCTGTCTGTCTGTCCGTCCGTCCGTCCGTCCATCCATCATCTATCCATCCATCATCTATCCATCCATCCATCATCCATCCATCCATCCATTATCTATCTATCTATCTATCTATCTATCTATCCATCTATCATCCATCTATCATCCATCTATCCATTATCTATCTATCTATCTATCTATCTATCTATCTATCTATCTATCTATCTATCTATCTATCTATCTATCTATCTATCCATCCATCCATCCATCATCTATCCATCCATCCATCCATCCATCATCCATCCATTATCTATCTATCCATCCATCATCCATCCATCCATCCATCCATCCATCCATCCATCCATCATCTCTCTCTCTCTCTCTCGCTCTCTCGCTCTCTCGCTCTCTCTCTCTCTCTCTCTCTCTCTATCTATCTATCTATCTATCTATCTACCTTTATTGATTTTCCATAAACAACTCAAGGAGGCAAACACATCCAATGTATCTTCCTCCTCCAAATTTCCCCACAACTCTGTCAGGTAGGTTGGGCTAAGAGAGACAGACTGGCCAAAACTCACCCAGACACCTTTTCATAACTAAGGCGGGACTAGAACTCACCATCTCCTGGTGACAAGCCAAAATCACCCAAATTACTATTCATGCCTAAGGCAGAACTAGAATTCATGGTCTCCTGGTGATTGGTCCAGTCACCCAAGTCACCATTCGTGCCTAAGGTGGGACAAGAACTCACTGTCTCCTGGTGACTGGCTCAGTCCCTCAGCCAGCTTTCACCCCTGTCGCAACTAGAACTCACAATCTCCAGTTTCTCGCCTGGTGCCTTACCCACTAAACCAAACTGGCTTTCTTAGTACAAGAACTAGGATGCAAATTTTAAGTTTATTGCCTTGTTTGAGTAGTATCATCAAAACGAAAACTGGAAAAAAAAACCAGGGTTTTTTTTAAGGAAAAAGGAAGAAAAATAAGTCGGTCTGTGTGTGTGTGTCTGTGTGTGTGTGAGTGTTTGAGAGAGAGACTGACTTTACCTCATGTTCCAGGAAAAGAGCCTTCAGTTGTCCCTTTGACCAGTAATCCAAAGCGTAGGCCAGAAACTTCATGGAGATGGTGTTGATTCGCAAGAAGTTCCCCACAAAAACCACTTTATTAATGTTCTGCCAAAAAGAGGGGGGGGGATTTAGAAACGGATGCTATTGAAGAATAAATTAGGGACCAGCTGTTCATTTAGGTCAAAAAGAAGAGGACAAGCTGCAGCAGGATGGATGGATCCGATTACAACAGCTGGAAGACCTGAAGCAGCTGCAGGTCAGATCCATCCTGCAGAAAATCTGCCTCATTCAGGGGTAGGCAACCTTGGCTCTTTTATGACTCGTGGACTTCAACTCCCAGAATTCCTGAGCCAGCATGGGGGAATTATGGCCCCTTCATGACTTGTGGACTTCAACTCCCAGAATTCCTGAGCCAGCATGGGGGAATTATGGCCCCTTCATGACTTGTGGACTTCAACTCCCAGAATTCCTGAGCCAGCATGGCTCAGCTTGGAAACCTCTCCCTTTCCCCTCAGTGTGGCTGGCTCAGGAATTCTGGGAGTTGAAGTCCACCAGTCATAAAGTGGCCTAGGCCTAGGCCAGAGGTAGGCACCTTGGCCCTTTTATCACTCGTGGACTTCAACTCCCAGAATTCCTGAGCCAGCCATGCTGAGGGGAAAGCGAGAGGTTTCCAAGCTGAGTCATCCTGACTCAGGAATTCTGGGAGTTGAAGTCCACGAGTCATAAAAGGGCCAAGGCTGCCTACCTCTGGCCTAGGCC